CCATCCTAGCTGTCTCCCAGCTTGTAAAACCGAACCCTCGGTGGCGGTTTGAAGGAAACCCTGGCCATCTCTGCCAGAGGAGACACCTTAAAAGCACATCCCATAATTGGGAGGGTTTCTGCAGGCTGGCAAGAGGAGAGAGAGAGACAGAGAGAGTCAAAGAGAGAGAGAGAGAGAATGAGAATGAGTGTGAAAGAGAGAGAGAGAATGAGAATGAGTGTGTGAAAGAGAGAATGAGAGTGTATGAAAGGTTGTGAAAGAGAGAATGAGAGTGCATGAAACAGAATGAGAGTGTGTATGAAAGAATGAGTGTGTGAAAGAGTGAGAGTGAAAGAGAATGAGTGTGAAAGAATGGGTGTTTGAATGGGTGTGTGAAAGAATGAGAGTGTGAAAGTGTGTGTGTGTGAAAGAGAATGAGAGAGTGTGAAAGAGAATGAGAGTGAGAATGAGAGAGAATGAGATAGTGTGTATGAAAGAGAGAATGAGAGTTTGTGAAAGAGAGAGAGAGAGAATGAGAGGGAGAGTGTTAAAGAGAGAGAATGAGAGAGTGTGAAAGAGAATGAGAGAGGATGAGATTGTGTATGAAAGAGAGAATGAGAGTTTGTGAAAGAGAGAGAAAATGAGAGGGAGAGTGTGAAAGAGAGAGAATGAGAGAGAGAGTGTGTGTGAAAGAGAGACGGGGGGAGAGAGGGACAAGGGAATACTTTTGCCAAACACTTGTGGGTTTTTAAACTCTTACTTATTTTAAGCAAGCCTATCCCTCTCCAGCAATGTTATCCCACCTTGAGCCTTCTTGACTATCAAACTTCAGCCTTAGAGGTTAAAAAAAACAAACACATTTTGGGGGAAAGGTAAAATAACCAACGGAAGTTTGCAAGCCCCCTGTGATTTTTTTCTCTTTCCTTTTTTCCTTCCGTCTCGGGGAAAATTAACCTCCCACCACTGCTATCGTCTCTTCCGTACATCTCAGGTCCGTGTTTTTAAAAAAAATCCTTGTGCCTGCCCCAGCCATGCCCAACTTTGCAACTCAAAGCTGTTTGAGTCACTGCAGGGGCTTTTCCTGGGGGGGCTCGGGGTGGGTGGGAATGGGAAGCCTTCATTCCTTTTAGCAACGGACGCAGCTAACAAGGCAGGGGATTTAAAAGCTGTTGTTCTTCTCCAGGGTTTTTTTTTTGGGGGGGGGGAGGGAGGGATTGAGCTAGATTTCAGGAGGGTTTGTAACGATATATATATAAATATATAAATATAAATATATACCTCATTCAGATAAGCTGCAGCATCACACCTTGGCTCGGTTAATTGTGGGGGGGGGAGGCTCTTATTTTTTGCTCTGCCTGCCACTTATCATTATTACTTTTTGACTGTGAAGATGGGACCCCCCCTCCATTTCAGAGCTGCCCACCTGTGGTGATGATGGCGGCGGCGTTCCTCTCCTCTGTGGGATTTTGGCGAGGGGGGGGGTCCGTAAGTCAGCAAGCAGAGTACGCCTCAATTGGGGGAGAGGGGTGGGATCGTTGGCGGCGGGCGAGGGAGGGAGCCTTCCCTTCTCTTGACCTAACCTGTAACTCGGGATATTAAAAAGATTGTATGGCACTCAGGACTTTTCAGTACGGATGGGAAGGGCAGGGTCTCCAAGGACAGATCTGTATTTTCAGAGGGTGTCTTCCTTCTCCGCCCCCTCCCCAACCTCCCCCTTCGCCATCCAAAGGCCTCGTGGCAACTTCAGGGTGGGCGAATTGGGCATTGAGGGAGATCCGGCGCTAAAACATAACCCCAAATCATCGCCTTGAACGTGGGCTGCTCCGTGCCCGCTTTCCGGCCGAGGATCTTAATCGGGTCCCACCATCTCCTCGCCCTTTGGAGAGCAATGGCAGGATCTTGGCCGAGGAAGCTGGGCTACTCACAGGAGCTTCCGTCCGATGTTTCCAGGGTCTTTCTCCCCTCCCCACTTTTGCCCTTAGTCTAGCCAACGGGCCACAGCGCTTTTAGGCGGACCCAGAAGTCGGATGGAGGTGGCCCATCGGAGTGGAAGGAGTAGGGAGGTGTGTGTCCCCGTCCCCCCCATCCTACCCCAGAAGGATCTGCACACAAAACCCTACACAGCCCTTTTCTGCCTGCTGCTGTTGTTTTTTTTTCCCCTTTCCTTCCCAAGAGGTTGGAAGGAGGGAGGGAGGAAGGGAAGGGAAGGAAGGAAGGAAGGAAGGAAAGAAGGAAAGAAAGAAAAGGAAGGTAGTCAAACCGTAAGATCAGGTCACTACAGCAGCCTCGCGACTAGTTCGTTTTAACTATTTAAAGAAAGAAAGAAAAAATAAAAGTGATAGCCTAGATGGTGAATAACTAAAATACCTCAGATGTGTTTTTTTTTCCTTTCAGCAAGTGTCTGTATATGTTGTCGTTGGGTTTGTTGTTTTGTTCTGTTTTGTTTTATTATTTTTTTTGTGTTTTGTTTTCTATCTTAACAAGTTATCTGAATGTTTATATTCCAATAAACTTCTACCTCTTCAGATCGTGGCTGTCGTCGTCCTTGATTATTATTATTACTATTCGCAACAACAGAATTGTATCACAGCGGCCAGTTGTTTCGCCAGATTTGGCATTGGTTTACTAGTCGGGCTCCACCCAGGGGCCTAGGACGTCGCAACGTATTTTCGTAATATGTGTGCAGATCCAAGCAGTGCGGCTTT